CCTCTTGCAAGCCTCTTGTGTGCTTTTCGAGCGGCCCCAAAATGGGCAAAATCGGATGCCTTTCCTCTTCAAAGCCTTTTTTTGGGACATGCTCCAGGCACTAAAATTTCGAAAAGTTTATTACCGCGAGCATGTCCCAAAAATTTAAATTTTATGACCGCGAGCATGCCTACCGAAAATTGCGGAAATTTCATTACCGGTAGCTTGTCCCCCTCGAGCTACCAAAATTTCCGAAATTTTAATACCGCGAGATTTCCTAAAGCTACCAAAATTTCGGAAATTTTAGTGGCGGGGAAAAAGTGCTCCCGGTACTAAAATTTCCGAAATTTTAGCGCGAGACAAGCCCGCAAGAGGCTTTCAAAAGGAAACGTGCCAAAGGACGAGGTTCCAGGGGCCAGGGGCGCCACAAAAAAACGGAGGCGACCAGCACGACACCGGTTTATTGGAGAATAATCGTATTCTAGTCGTATCTAGCTCCAAATAATATTATTTACAGTTTTTTGAAATTCTTCTAATCTATATGCCTAGATTTTTGTAAACAATCTATTTCATCATTATAATATTTGCTAATCCAATCTAGGCTATAACCTCGTATAGTCAATTTTAAAGAACAAATATTATCATTGTTAATTATAAATAACTTTAAGAAATCAGATTATCTAGAAATACTAGATCGTATAAAATGGTATTATCGACCTTTCGAAATGAGAAATAATTAATCTTAGATATATTATCTCATATCTATATTGAAGGATTATATTTTCTCATCTTCTTGATCTTTCCTAAATCGATCTCTATAATATATAGAGATATATTATTTATCGTATCATTAAATCTATCTAACCTATCTTTAATAACAATAGCGATAATAATATTTCGTAGTATAGAAACTACTAATCATATGATCAGACCTTTGAGATTATATATTTTCAGTATCATTGTTTCATTTCGAATCAGTATAAATATATCTGATAATAAATATACTTTAAGAAGAGAACAAATCTATTTCATCTATAAAATATAAATAATAAAAATAACGGACCAATCTCTCGATGAAACTATTTTCCTTTTGGTTTGGATCCATTCATATATGATCCCCCCGAATATATATGCCGAGCTTTATAATTGTGACCAAGTTATGGCAAGTTCCGAAGCTTCGCTGCATACGAGTGAACAACGAGCGTCTTCTCTCTGAATTGTGAAAACCGGTGGATATACATTCATATTTCTTGTTCGTCAATAGCGCAATTCAATATGCAAATCTTGTATGTTCTTTTGAATCGATCTGCAATCTCGTGCAAAGTACGTTAACTGTTGGACAACCCCCTTGCAGGGCAAACTGTCCAAATTTCCGTCACGAAGCTGCCATCACGGCCACGCAGAAAAACGTTTCTTGCCAGATGTGGCACTGGCCGTTAGCCGCCCTGAATGCAGGCCGCCAAGAAGGTGCCCGCAAACAAACTTCGAGAGAGACCCCGGTTTCCCTGGAGATCTATCTTGGTGAGTGCAGGACAGTTGGCCGTCAAGAAGCCTTTGATGCAAGTCCCCGAAGATGCGGAAATGTGACACCATCGTAGGCTGAGCACCTCTAAGTGGTCGAGCTTACACTCCCCAACTGCTTCCTGCAACTCGGCCACCTCGGAAGGAGTCTTTAGAATATTCTTGTTGCCTTCCAAATCCAAAAGGCGCAACTTGGGGCAGGCCCTGAGCAAGGCTCCCAGAGGCTTGACAGCCGATAGCCGGCATCGGCTGAGCACCAGCTCCTGGAGAGAAAGCCCCGGAAGCATGGAATTTACCAGATCTGCCCAGATCTGACCTCCAAGATCCACGTTCCCCAAATGCAGGCTCCGGAGCGATCGAGTGCCTGCCAACAAGTGCCGAAGGCCTTCGCGACCCAGGCCAGACAGCCGTGGCTGGCAGTCGAAGTTGAAGGAGGGCTGGGAGCTTGCCAAGGCTTCGCCAAGGTAGCCCCGACCAATGACGAAGGTGTTGCGGTAGAAGGGGTCCTCGGTTTGGTCAGATCGCCGCTAGACTTGGACCAATCGCCATATGCCGTCATGCAACAAACAAGGTTGGCGCTGCACCCTAACGCATGCATCTGCACACAGGTGCAGACTCAGCAACCCCTCAAAAGCCCCTGCCAGCACCGAAATAGTCGCAACAAGGCGCGACACCGCACAGCGCTACTACTCAATGAATCCTGAAGCATACATCCTACAGCCCCAACCCAAACCCGGCTGTAAGGTTCCGTCATTGAGGCTGGAGTTCAGCGAGGTGTCGGAGCCCCAGAAACATCGAAACTGCCTGTCTCGGTCGCCTCAGTTAAAGATTAAGGTGATTCCACCTCCTGCTTGCTGCACTGTTTCTCCTACTGCTACTTCGACGACGACTACTACTACCACTGCGACTGCTATTGGTGCTGCTACTGGCATCGCTACGTCTACCACAACAGCTACCGCTACTTTTGTTGAGCGTCTTTGTTGCTACTTGTAGTATTCTTACTACTACAAGTATAAGCATTGCTATTACTATTACTAGAGTATTGCTGGTTCTGAATTTGCTGTCTTCTGTCTTTGTGTCTTTGTCGTCGTCGTGGTGTTGCTCTTTTTCTGCTTCTTGATCATTCTGCTCTTCTCTTCTTCGTCGTAACCCTACACCCGAATCTTCTCCTCTGAAAGCTGGGGAGGCCACTGGCGCTGAGAGCTCGGACGAACAAAGCCTCCTGGAAACTGAGGTGGCCTCCAAAAGCGTGCTGAGGAGGGTGGCTTTGGGAGTTGAGGGGTTTAGGATTCACGTTTGGCGTTTGGTGTGCAGGGGCTTAGGATTTGGGGACTTAGCGGTTCGGGGACATCACAGGTTTAGGGCTTTAGAGGTTTATGGACAAGGATTCTGAGTTTATGGCTGGGGGATTTAGGGTTCAAGGGTTTAGAAGTCTAAGCGGTTTACGATTATGTCGGCCCTTGTTCCTCCTATCCTCGGCAGACTTCCGAAGCTAGAAATCCCATGGGTGGGTGTGGCCTGCCAACTTTGTGACAGGAACCGGGCTTAGGGGGCTTGGGTTCGGGCTTCGGGTCTTACGATTTCCGGCTTCAGGACTTCTGAGAGGCTGGGGGTTGGGGGATAGCTGAAGGGATCTTCGGGGTTACATAAACGCCGCAGCAATGAAGAAGCTGATGCTTCAAGGCTTGGTGTTGAAGCGGTTTCTTGTAGGCAGTCTTCCGGGTCTTCCGCCCTTCCGATCACGAAGTTGTCCCTCCTTGTGGGACCTTAACGGCTTGTTGGTTGTTCTCCTTGCATCTGTGCAGTTCTACTTGTGCGTGACAGGGTTCTGTTGTTTCTCCGGCTTCCTGCCGGATCTTCCGAATTCTGCTTCAAGAGGGGTCTGCCCTGATGACTGTCTCGTTGACCCGGAAGCGCTTCTACATGCCTTGCCCCTCTGCACCTGAGGACGGCCTGCAGTCTCTCAGGCACATGTTCCAAAAGCGCTTGGGTCCAAGCTAAACTGAAACTCGCCCGTCATGTCGCCCAGGGCCAGGATCTTGACCTCACAAACCCGAGCAGAGGTTGAATAGTTTACAAGGCTTGGCTTCTGAGGCTCGTGCCAAAGGAACAGAGCCATCCTCGAGCGTGAATATTGCTGTCGGCACAAGTCGTCAGTAGTAAGCATGAGCAGCCAACACAACGTACCTCCAGCAACTGTGACCACAATGCCAATTGGCTTGGCTCCTGTGAATGGACTGCTGATGAGCTGGATGCTGCTCGACGAAGCGTCAAAAATTCTCATGCCTTCAGTGCTGCTCGAAGATCCTCTGCCTCGTCGATGGCGCGCAGCTACATGCGTTGCCCAAAATGCACACCACAACTGCGGACATGACTCTGCGGCTCGGTTGCCTGGAAAGTACGTCGCTTTGCTATGTGATTGGCCTCAGAAGAATGCAATGCCTCCTGTGACAACTCTGTTGCAAGAAATGTTACGCTTCACGAACGCGTGTTTGGAGTTGTGCAGAGAAATTCAACTGCATTTCGGCATGCAAGGTCTCATGTTTCATTCGTGAACAGGCGGCGGCTGTCATCTTAGCTCCCGGCCACAGCGATTGCCTGCAGCATCTCCAGCACAGCCTCCGGATGATTTCGGGGAGGTGCTTGAAATCCGTGCAGGGGGGTTGCAGACAGCTCTCCGACCGGGTCTGAGAGGAAGCATGGTGCATTGCATGGCGACGAAAGCCCAATCCGCGCCTGCACTCTGTCCTGCCAGGGCTTGCAAAGGCCACGCAAGCTCTCACTACCCTGCGCTCACCCTTCTTATAGTTGTTGGGAGGGGCTCCTTTCCAACCCGCCGTTCAAGGGTAGACAGCATGCCCATCTCCTCGGCCGCAGTGCCCCAGACAATACTCGGAAGTACACAAACCGGAACCGGGGCCCTCTCGTAGAGGTCATAAAGGTTCTGCGGCAGGCGCTGGGTCTCCACGGCCTGGGCTTGGGCTGATACCGAGCCCTACCTATAGTCTCCATTGTAGTTCCTTTTTCTGGGTTTAACCAATGATATACTAACGGCCCTAAAAGGTAACCCCAAAAAGGAACTCCAATGGAGGCTATAGGTAGATACTCCTCAGCTGGTACTCTTGTTTCTGCTTCCTGAGGATTGAACAAAGGCACAGGCCAACACCGATAGGAGCACCTTCATGTGGCCAAGAAGATGCAAAAATCAGAAGCAAGCAGCTTCAGACTTTTCAGAAAGTCCCGAGATTTTTTGAACTGAAGCTTGGGGAGCTGCGGGGATGCGGCAGATGGCGTCGAAGACCGACATTCTGGCCTTTTCCAGCGGGACTCGCAACCTTCTCGCAGATGGGCCAGTGAAGCTATGTCTGGCCTCCAGCATGGTATCAAAAGTCTCAAGTCCACCTGCACCGGTGTGCGGCGCAGCAGGGTAACCGCTTACGGAAACCTGGCCGACCGTTTGAATGCTTGAAAACCCTTACTTCAACCGTAGCTGCCTTGATTCTGGAGGCTTTTCTGGAGATGCGCGTAGTGCTCCTGACTCCCAAGCAGGGCAGGCAGACTGGGGGGACCACCCGAATCGCTGTCCAAAGCTCCTGCATCTGCAAAGTCCTCGTGGCGACATGATGCAAAATACCGGGGCTTGTAGAAAGGAAGATCGTCAAGCACACCCTGCCTATACACAGACAAGCACTCTGCATGATGGATCTGCACCTGTACAAGAGACCGAGGACCGAGAAGAAGGTGCTTTCAGGCACTTCCACACTTCCGGCCTGAGCGGTGTGAGATGTATCCTGGAATGTCAGTCTGAGCTCGTAGCGCAGGAACCGCAGTCGAGTCGGGCCAGGATCTTGAAAGGAGCTCCAGCGACGAGCGACATGAAGGCTGGCGGGTTCTCCATCGATTTGCACCGTGAAGCCTTTGAGCAACGTCTTGCAGAGGCTCGCCAGTGAGGCGGCGCTGGGACACACGAAGTCCGCCTTGATCATCCCAAGCTTCTTGGAATGGATGCTCAGTCTTTTCTGGACATCTCGGCTTTCTGCCGCGTCCTTCTCTGCGTCTTGCGGGTCCTGTGGAAGCTGCAGGCATCCTGGATTTAGCCCCGCGCTCGCCAGCAAGCGCACAGCCGCACAGAAAAACACGGCCGCGAAGATTTCGTGATCAATCACTGCTGTGGCTGGCGCCACGGCCTCCTCGGCCGTCTGCGGAAGTGCCTCAAGAGCGCTGCGGTCCTCACTGGATTCCGGGAAGTTGCTTTGGAAGGCTTCCTCCAGAGCTTGCCGGGCCTTGCTGAAAGACACAAGGTGCTTGAAGAAGGAATTTTGCTGAAGTTGCTTCTCGATGATCTTGTGCTGTTGGTCCCCGCTCAGCGGCTGCAAGTTCATGATGATAAAGCTCCTGGAATAGAGGCGTTTCCTGATGCCCTCGGGCCGTGATGTCACCAGGAGAGGAACCTTAGCAGTGGGCGAGGTTTCTAATGAATATGACCCTTGCTATTCTGCGTAGGGTCTATTTATATAAGCATTGATGAACAGTTGTAATCTTGTTTAACAGAAACCAAGGAACGCCCATCAAGACCAGAGTCTTCGTCACAAACTCCTCCACAGCTAGCTTCATGTTGGCTGCCTGCTTGCAAAGTGGCAGGTCGGCTAGGGACTCAGATCCCCTGACACGCACTCTCCTTCCAAAGCGCTTGCCTCATCAATACCATCGAGCATTACAATCAAGCTTCGCATCTCGAAGGCTTGCTCCAGCATGTTCCTGCCGATACGGAGACGGAGACTTCTGTATTGGACCATCCCCGCAAACAACAGCGAGACATCGAGAAAGTCCTGGTAGGTCCCCGGGGATACTCGGTTCGGATGAAGAACAGGACCAGGTTTGACGATGCTTCCTTCAATTCCGACGTGAACAGGTGCAACTTAGGACCTGTCAACTTTTAGCTACTTGCTCTCTCTCCATCTCCGTGTGTGTTTGTGTTCGTGTTTACATATATGCCTAAATATGACGTTTCCTGTAGGCCCACAGCACATGCAGTGCCTCGTCTGACGTCGATCTCTGCCGCAACATCCGTGCCTGCAGTCGTAAGGCATCGAAAGAACAAACGCTTCTTTTGCAGCACTGGTGCTCATCACAGCGACAGCCGAGAACGCGACCAGTTTTTGTATAGGAATCAGTAGGGGCACGAAGCGAAACCTGCAGTCTCCGAGACAGTTGAGTACGCTTGTCCCCTGAAATGCCCACTCAGGCCCACAAGGATTTTCTTAAGCAGCCCACTTGACGAAGTCCTCTTTCTGACCTCCTCCGGCCAGTTCCTGCCATGCCAGCATGCGTCCAGAAGCAAACTGTCGGTAGGAGTTCACAGCTTCATGTCGCCGGAACATCCTGCCTGGGCCAGCAAGAGCAGCAGCTGTTGCATCGACCAAGTCCTTATCCGCACTTAGGCTCAGGTTGGTCAGTCTTTCAAAAAGAGCTAGCGATAACACAGTCGATTGATGATGGCTCTGCGAAGTACAAGCAAGACAAGTGTCAGACAGTGTCTGAATTGGCCGGCTTCGCTTGGTGCACTTGCAGCCCAGGCTACTCTGAGCGGAGTGCCCTATATGCCTTCTGGAGGGGGGCTACTTGTTATATGGATAGTCGACAGAACCAGAAGCAACCAGAAGCAATGCTATTGCTAATTAACCTACTCCCGGGGCCTACATAACCTAACACTATTTGGGGATTCCTTCTTCTAGTTATACTGGTACAATCTACCTNNAATCCTGTTCTACTTATTCAGGCCCCCTCCCCATCTTCGCCTCTTTAGTACGCGTTTGCCTATACGGTGCAGCTGCGGCTCTTCCCAGTTCCGGGTCCTGCCCGGATCAGCGCGGGCTGGCAGGAGTGAGCGCCATGGGATCTCCCTGGAAGGGCTCCGAGGTTTCGGGAGCAATTCTCAAAGCCGAAAAGCCCCCCCAACCCTGAAGCTTGGGGGTTTGAAGGTTTAGGGATGTGTTCAGGGTTTGGGGAGGGATGCGGCTTGCTTTTTTGCGACTCTTGGGCCCCGGAAGCCCGCGGACTCCAAGCTTCGGTTCTGAGGGATGGAGGGTTAAGGCTTTGGAGATGTGAGGTTTGGAAGAAGCTACTTTCGGTCGATTCTGTTCCTTGCACCAGATGTTCGGATGTAGTATGCCTGTAGTTTTGCTTTAAGGGCGTGTGGGTGGATTCTAGACGGGAATGAGGTTCACACAGCGGCCGTTCGAGCACTGAGAGACAACTTCAATCCTGAACTCAAACCAAGACCTATTTACAGCCTTATTATGCTGCACTGACCCTCACGGTCCATACATACATACATACATACATACATATATATATATGTATGTGTATATATATATATATGTATAAAGCTACTATATATGTCAACGCCCCTCAGCCCGAAACGCGGCCTTGGACCACGCGGCTCTTGTGCAGCAGCAGCGGGACCATCTCGGAGATATCCCGGACCTCCCAACGATTGGGGGATACGCAGGCTTCAGCTTTTCGACGGTCTTGCTATCCCATATTAGAAGGAATCTTCGCTTTACAGTTTTACAGCAAGCATTGTGCTTCATCGCTGTTACTGCTATCATCTGCATCAGGGCCATCCTCTGACCGGTACGAATAAATACGCCGAGCTTTGTCAGCGGACCTGCTTCCAAGTGAACCATCAACCGAGCGGGATGAATCTGCAGTCGTGATTGGCAGTAATCTGTCCACTGTGTTCCAACAGGCTTCCGCAACGAATACGCTTGCCCACATAATCGTGATGATCGGCCATGCCACCAATGACACGAAGGCCGTTGCGCGAAACGGCAGCAACAGCAGCAATGCAAGCGCCTGGGACCACTGCTCATTCATCCACGCTTTCGTATGTGCCGCAAGCAAACGATCAACTAGCTGCCAACAGCATGCAACATACCGCACTCCACTGATGTCTTCTCGTGCATAGGCAATCACGAACCATGTGGCTAGAGCCACGCAGCAGCAAAGCAAGCTCAAGGAACCATGGACTTTGCGCTGGATCCTGTCCTGAAGCTTCCGCTGTATCGCCCCGTTACTGTCGAGCTTGGCGAGACTGTAAATTGCCCAGGCGCAGCCGGGTAGCGTGTGAAAGAGTTTCCAACTTACTATAACGGTGAGTGGAAGCACCTTCAATAAACGGGCATACTCCGGTGGCATTCTCAGGATGCTATAAATCTGCACTGTTGTGCCCGTGAAGCACTCGAAGGTCTCGGCGGCCTTGATTTTCTTCAGCTTCTTGCTTTCTTCCCCATTATTCCTCACCTCCCTCAGACCATCAATAACTCCTTTCGTAAAGAGCGGTGTAAAACCTGATGTCGCTTTGGACAGCAGCATGTAGGACATCAAAAGGCCCGCGCACATGAAAACCGCGTAGTAGGGCTGGCCGCTTCGCAGGAAAGTCAGGAAGATCACGAGGTCCAGTGCTGGCCGAGCTAACAAAACCACGGCACGGGCCTCATCGCATCCTGGCCATCTGTCAAAGACACCGCCGGACCCGAGCAGCACCAAGCAAAGAATAATGTATACAAGGGCCCATAAGTACACCAGTCCCTGAGAAGGTATGATTCGCCTGGCAAAGGCAGCAACTTCCACCTTCAAGCAAGCGCCGTAGATAATGCGGACGGAAGCATTCCTATGTGTAGCAGTCTTGATGACGTGATCGTAGCTCAATGCATAAGCGATGCAACTGCCTGGGCCGAGGCTATGTCGACACCACTGCAAGCAGGAGTCTACTTCTTCTACGACATCCGTCTGCAGAAAGCGCATGCAATCTGCCGGCAGATGAGAAGTATTGCGAAGCCGATCCTCGTATGAGTCGCTATTCCAGAGCTTCGTTTCGTCTGGGGCGATCAACCCGTCGATCCAAAATGCCGCATATGAGTATGTCAGCGCAGCAACCAGCATCAAACCAATGGCCATTCCGATCATGCTGACCTTCTCCTTCCACCAGGAGTCCATGTCCCTCAGCCAGGCTTGCAACGAAGTCGCCCGTCGACATGTCTATGACGCCATGAGGCTCCAGCTTGAAAGCTTCTTGGGATGTAAGTAGTGCTCGGGGCTTATCGTCTTCATGGATGTTCATGGGTACATAGTTCACCTAATGTACAGCTTCTGGGGAAGCCCCTGACAGCTTGAGTGCAGCGACCATAAGTAGGTGAACTAGATTTTCGATGCTTCTGATTTTGGAGCCCGGCTTCTGTACAACCCGGAGATGTTCCCTTCGGGATGCAAGGTGCTGCGAGGGTTAGAAGCAAGCATAAATGTAGCTACAAGTACAAGCCGCTCAATCCAAGGCCGGTGCCCGCCTTCTCAAAGGACGAGTCTTGCACCTCGACTAGGTGATTAGGCAATCTACCCATGGCCGGCCAGCAGCCACCAAGGATACTGCCGCCAATGCGCTACTCTACGTCTACCACATCGAAATCATGATCTGACGGCTACCAGGACACGCTCTTCTTTACGGCGGTCGAGAGCCGCAACCCAGCAAGCTACATCACGAGCACACGAGCAGGCGCGCTGCTGTCCCAGGAATCGTTCTCTTGAATAGTCTACACATCCACTCTTTGTACGAAGGCCCTCCTCCTTTAACGCACCTCTCCGGCAATCCCGAAACCTCAAAGCACATTGTAATCCAAGACACTCCGGAGATGGGTCGCCCCCGTTTGATGGAGCTGGAAGGCCTGGAAGCCGCCGGAAGAACTCAACAGGTTTGCTACAAGTCGCATGCGGCTTCCTGTCTCATGGGCCTCGAAACTCCTAAGCCCAAGCAGCAAGTGTCGGGTTTACGACAGCTGGTAGTTCTTACTTAGTGAGCAGTGAGCAGGATCTAACATATAGCAATAAGTCTCCTGCAAGATAGCAGGTGGTGAGCAACGGCAGCAGAAGCAGTCGCAGTCGCACAAGGCATCATGTGAAACCCAAATGACCAGTATGCTTCCTGTCAGTGCAGCCTCTTCAACTCCAATGTCTGCTGTTCGATCCATCGAGCTTTCTTGAAATGCCTGCAGCTGAGGTTCAAAGCTGGAGACGACGTTCCATCAGAGTACTTGACGACGTATCCTGAGGCGGAAGATTGCGGGGCTGTCGGGCGAATCTGCCCTCGAGTCTATAGTGAGAGACACCTGCCTTCCTTGAGTTCACAATGGTTACTTTAAGGAACGGGTACCAATACAGGTGTTTAAGGGTTGGCACTCCAGAGCCCAGCTTCTATGCTTTGTTGCAGAGTGGGGATGGCTTCCCTAGCATCACTCACTTTGCTCCCTGCCGAGACCCGAAACCTTCAGCCCAGCAGTCTGACAAGAATCGGCCGTGCTTCTGCAGGTGCTCGACGATGCCCTGCTCGTTGAAGCAGCATGCATAGACACAGATCTTCAACAAGGCAGTCAGCTTCCATGTAAAGAGCTTGTGCATTCGGAACACAGGGAGGAGCTGCCTCGCGGCCTTGCGCCCATACACGATCTCCGAGGTGAAAGACAGTGTCCGAGATCCATTCCAAGTCGTCGAAGGCCATGTGCCTTTTGCAGGAATCCCACGATCATGATAACAAAACATGGTCATTACCGTCGGCACCATCATCATCATCATCGTGGCCTCCCAGACTGCTTCCCTCCTCAAGAGATCCTGTACCGGACATTAAATTCACAGTCCTCGGCCGGGCCTTATGCTGTCCGCATCTTGATGCTGTCGCACCTGGCCGGCTTTCCGTTGCCACTTTCATGCAGAGTTGAGCGGTGGGTGCAGTGGAACAACACATATATATCTAGCTGCTAGCCGTCGCAGCGTGATGCCATCTTGCACCAGTCCCCTCTCCGACAACATGCCTCCATTTGCACCCGCACAATCTGTTCAGAAATGTCCACACCTTGGCTAATGCGGACTCCCACTTCTGGCTCTGCAGTCAGGTGACATGCAAGGAATGTTGTAATGACAAGCCAAGGCCGGTGAGCTGCGATTGCCTGTGATCGCATCCTCAATGTACCGTCCGTCCTCTTCAGAAAGGTTGGCTGCAGGAAATAAATTTCATTTGAGGCACCTCGGGGAATGACACCCACAAACTTGTCCTCCACCACCTTCTTGCAATACCTCACTGTAACTGTATAAAACATTGAAGCGATTGTGTGGTTGCAAACAACAGAAAATCAAGCTGCAAGCAGCACGAACCGTCACAGTACCTGAAGGCCTTTGAACTTAGATCAAGAACTGACAGCACTGAGAGCAATATGCTTTGCTGATACTAGGTTCCCCAGTAACCCCTTCATAATAAGGGTACCCTTTTTCCTAATGTTCGGCTTTAATAAGGAGACCCCCAAATAAAAAAGGACAAAAGGGTACTACTGGGGAACCTAGGATATGCAGTGCCAGCATGGGTTTTCGGAAAGGCGGGCAAAAGCTGCGACTGCTGTCTTGCAAGTCCGGGTCGCGCGATCCGGGTCGCTTCGAAGTCGTGTAGGCTTGCGAAGCGCTGCAGGCTGTGGTTCATCTCCTCAGACTAACATATCATAGCATATCATATTATATCAGAATAATACTGCCAGTGTTACTGATCTTACATTATATATATATATATCCATATATATATAGACATATTGCTTTATTTTATACTCCAGTATAAGGAGCTCTGGCTTCCCTGCGAATCTCGTGCGAGGCCGCTGCAAACACCCAACCTTCGGATACTCATACTCTGTCCATCTATAGGCTTAGGTTTTATGGTTTAGGGTTTGGGGTTTAGGGTTTAGGGACTCTGAGTTTGCCGAGATGCATTCAAGTCGACCTCGTGTTCCTGCGACTCCGCTGGCTGAAAAGCAAAGCGAAAGGAGCAGAATTTCTCTCTGCCGCTTTGCCTCTGAAGCGCCGGCGGTTGTGTAGCGCACACCTCGTGCGAACCACAAAGCAGTTGCGAGCCTATCTGTCGGCTGCATATTGCTTTCGCGCTTCTATCCTGCTGCTGATGACTTTCAGGATGATAATGAGCTTTGCCGTTCTAAACCAATGCTCTGCCTCAGCCGGTACTCGATATCTCCCTCTCTCTCTCTCCCTCTCTCTCTCTCTCTCTCTCTCTCTCTCTCTCTCTCTCTCTGCTTCCATAAGGCTTGGGGGACGGTTAAGGCCCCCCGGCCGCATGGGCCCCCCCATGTGTTGTGGGGCTTGGTGGGGGCCTGGGGAATTTTTTCGGGTGACATATGTCAGGACAGGAAATATGTAAGATGATTATTTGCGGCTACATATGTTCTTCCACGGGGTTGGACACCTGCACGAATATCCCTTTGTATGAATCTGTTGCTCAAAATCTGGCAACAGTATCAGATGCAAGGATACAGTGATCCCCTCTCTGGGTCGTACTTTCAGCTTCAGTCAGAAAAGAGCCGAGTTATGCCTAGAGACAATAAGTCTACACATGCGTACATATGAGCTTCCCCCGACTGACAATTTCAAAATGCGCGCTGATTCGACGGGTCCCCTTCCTAGAAAGAGAAAAAACCAAATAAAATCAGCGTCCGGAATTTACGGGTCCGATTTTGTCTATGGTACTTGCCTTCGGGATGCGAGCAAAAGTTACTGTCGCTCGAATTTAGCTCCTTCTCCCGGATTCAAACTCTTCAGCCAGTGCCAGGCCACGCTGCTCTCGCCTCATCCTCCTGCATCTTCGCAGGCTCGTTTGGTCGTGAGCCATAACTTTGGATCTATCCCGGGAAAGAAACACAGCAACCAGTTCGCAACCTTCTCGGGTTTGTCAGGACACAAGGCACAGGCCGATGGCGGCCTGCGCCGACACTGTCGTGGGCAGCCTCCGCGCAGTTGTGGTCAAGACCTTGAACAACCCAGTCCAGACGCTCCAAACAAAGCTGTGCAAGTCGACGGATGTGCAGCTCGTCGAGCTCTGTCGAGCTCTCCGGCCCACTTCAGCGCGTCCATGAACAGTGCATGCAGTCGCATACATACTTCGGTGTCCACTTCAGCATAGTCCATGCCCTTCTGCAGAAACTTTGAGATGATCGCACTCCCGCTGTCGCCAAGCGATTTTAGGCCCCATTCGTAACAAGCCGAAGCGATCTCCAGAGAGCCTCTGGCCCGATTTTCAAGACGGCAATGCCACGTGCTGAACACATCCCGCAAGATAGCAACCACCGTCAGCCCAATTCCTTCCCGGTATAACCCATACAGTATCTCTCCATCGTTGGTCACATAAGTCGAGGCCTCCCCCATCAAGTCGTTCCACACCCGGGGTGTTTTCGACCACGTCCGAGAGCTCCTCCTGTCCAAGGCCTACGTCATCCCCCGGTTCAGTCATTTCCTCACAGCGGTTGCGGCCAAGCTGATGAATTGGCTGCCACGTGCACGCATCCTGAAGAATGTCACCGTCATCCCCCAGCTTTATCATTTCCTGATGAACTGGCTGCCACGTGCACACATCTTCCAAACCTGGCGGAGGAAGGATTGGGGCAGACGGGCTGCACCTAGGGGCAGCCACAAGTGGCAGGTCCGGAAAGGCCGGGCTGCCACTGTCCCGGCATTCTGGGTGGAGAGTTGGCATGCCATCACCCGCATGAAAAAAAGAGTCGAAGCTACAGACTCACCAACAACACAACACTACCAATGCCAGCACCACGCTTCCGTTCCGGACATCTCAATCCTGCGGAGACTCTCTGTCTCTCTGTCTTTACTCTGTCTACTCTTATGCTGTACGTAACGTACTGCCATAACGTAATGCCCAAAGTTTTGCCAAGTGGCGGTGGCGGCTACCGAGGTGCCTACACTTCGCACACAAAGCCGACTGCAAGTCGTGGGGGATGCTTCTTGCAGTGTGCCTTCCCAGGTAGCCAACCACTTCTGCCTGGACGAGATGTTCTTCGTCGTGGAGCAGCAGGACTTGGCATCCTTGCACACTGTGAATGGAACACCATGCCTTCGACCTGCTTGCGCAAGTTGAGGCTTGCACCAGCAGCCCGCTCGACGGTGCTCGCCACCACGACGGTACTAGGACGAGGATCCAGCATCTCCTCCTGCCAACCGAACTCAGTTGAAGGTTGCACCATCGGACAGCAAGACAGCAACCTGCTGAAAAGGTGCCTCTCCGCCGTCCACTTTCACGAGGACTTCCCCAGAGTCCGAGAAGCTGACCAAGGTTGCCAGGCGGTCCTTCAGCTGCTGTTGACAGATCATCCGAGCACCTAGAGGCAGAAGGATGTCCTGCACAGACGACGGCGAGGACAAGCCCAAACGCAGGCCGGGCTCGCTGGCAGCATATGCCAGCCTGACATGCTCACCCAACACGAAGTCTGTACAGCAAGATGGTGGAGACTCCCGAGTGAATCCCAGCATGGCTCAGGCACAAGCTTCCTGGCCTTGTCGGCTTCACCCTCAGCCTCACAGTAGACCCACGCTTCCTGTCGCGAAGCTGTGCTTGCCAGAGCTTAGAGAGCTCCGGGCATACTGTCTGAAAGGCCTGGCATACTCCAAGGTCTCGCCAACCCTGCGAAGCAGTACTTGAACCTGACATCATGGCACAATTCCCAGAACTGAAGACGGATCTGAGCCCCGACAGTTGAAACGCCATCTGGGATGCCGCGCCGTGCACATGCTGTCTGCATCGAGGATGCCCTCAGACTCCTGGTCGGTTGTTCACGTTTAAAGCCGACGAGACGCTGTGCTACTACTTCAGGGCCTTGTCTCTCAAAGTAGAGCAATACCTGCACTGCTGTGAATGAGGTTGTGCTAGTGTCTCACATGCGGCAGGATGCTGAAGCCGGTGAACAGAAAGATAACAGATTGGCTATACCACTGCAAACCATCCAGACTATCTCTTCCCAGTTCTGTTTCCCCAAGACCCACCTACTGTAAACCCAAGCCCGCCCTGGAATCTCTGTTGAGGAAGACGAGGGGCCACCTACCTAAACCTGAGGCGGCATCCTCCCCGGTGTAAGATTCGCCTAAAATTCGGGAGTTTCGGGTCCTAAACAAACCGTGCAATGACATGGACAAGAGCAGCAGCACAGCTCTCTTTTGCTGCTTCGACCCTGCAAGCAGTAGGCATCGCGTTTGTCTGACATCCGCAGCCTCAACACCCCAGAAGCTCGAACTCCGCCTCACTTAGAAATTTTGTGCATGGCCCAGTCCTGCCAGCCAGTCTCAACCCAGTCAAGACGTGCATCGAAGCCGTCCTTGTCCGGCTTCGTCGTCCTCAAACGAGGGCCACGAGACTTGCAGCAATAGAGCGCATGTGCCAACTGTAGCACCTGGTCTCGTGAGAGTCGGTAAAGTCAGGTTAGTTTGCCACATGGCGGGTCTCCTTGCAAGGCTCTTCCTGTCAGAGCAAGCAGCGTCATCCCATGTTGCAGAAGTCGTCGTCGCAGCAGCACGAGAAGTCGTCGTGGTCGTGGTCGGTGGGAGGTGTTGTTGCGTTACCGGTACTCGGAGTTGGAGCGGTTGAAACAGGCATCTAGATCTCACTAAACCCTGAAAAACCCCAACCGAGAACGAGCTCCCCAATGCAGAGTCCTGGCATCTTCGACCGTTAGGAGCTCGCCGAGGTACCGCGCCTCCCCCGAGTCCAGGGATCCGTCCTAGGCCGCAACTATTCCGGATTCTTCGACTTAGGGTTTAGAGCTCTTGCGATTATGACTATGATCAGTTCAACCTTTTCTAGTCTTTCTAAGTATCGTAAACACGATCAATGCATTCTGTACTATCCGCATATTGCTAGTGCTCATCTCCAGAGGTCGATTGCCATCTTTTCTCTGTGAGGGCAGGGTCGTGGCCACGTCATCACCGGTGCTGAGCTTCGTAAATGTCAAGTCCCAGAGGTGCCCAGAAACGTGTAAACGCCCAAAAGAAGCCGAGACTCCACCAGATGAATGGGCCCAATCACATCCGCCGCAATGTCGGAAAGAATACCTCAGGCGAATTCCCAAACCCGAGACCCCGAAGACCTTGTACGCAACAATGGGGGAAGCAGGGCGCCTTTCACATTGAAGACGAAGGCAGCTTCCCACCTCAGGCTTGCGGTGGAGCTTTCAACTGTCTCGTGGCAGCTGCAGGACTCGGACTTAACTTGAACCTTTATGCCTACGTCTCTCTCTTTCTATATATATATATATACACATGCATAAACACATACACATACACATACACACACATATATATATACACGCACATGTATTCACATATACGACACATGATAAATGAAAATGAATACGAACAGATGTCTGTATTTATATTTATATAGACACCTATTATCTATATGTCTTTATGTATGTTCATATTAATATCTGAAACTCTGAGTATGTGCAAATGCTCGACCACGTTACTGCCCCGTGCGTTCAGTGTTCCTTACAGATGACGAGCGGTTTTGGGGCTGCAACTTGCATGAATATCTATTTTTTGTCATACAGCCCTTTATCGCCCGTGTCAGCCTATCTCTCGGTCTACCTATCTCTCTATCCATCTAACATCTAACTGTCTGTCTATATATATCCGCATAGGTCGCAAAATTGGTGTGTGTATATATATATATACATACATATATATATACATACATGTATCTGTCTATATGTGTATAAGATTGTATTACAGTATAAGTCTACTCCTTTGAATATACCCCAACCAGAACCGGCCTGAAGAGAAGGCTTAAGCCGGGCTTTCCTCGCAGAGCCTCAGCTGAACCAACGCTGCGCAGAAGCAAGAGGTCAGCAGAGCAAGGTAGGGTTCTAGGTTCGCTTCTGGTTCTTGGATCTACAGTCCGCTTTTCGGTTTCGGGGTTAGGGTTTCGTGCCCATTTTCGGTTTCGGGTTTAGGGTTTAGTGTCCTTTTTCGGTTTCGGGTTTAGTGTCCTTTTTCATAACCCCTCTCTAAGCTCCTAGACCTCCCTGACCCCTGCCAGCCATTCTGGGTTGGCTGTTCCTGGATTTGGAAATGGCTGGTGAGGGCCCCCCACCTAAGTCCCTCGTGCAAGCATGTAGTACCTCAACTGCATGGCTTTTGCGAAATCAAGAATACACTCAGTCTTTTTCACACCCCTGCACACCATCACGCAAGCCGCTTCAGGCAGTCGGCAGAGCCCCGGGGCTATTCGAGTGAACTTCTTTTAGAAGTTCAACCAGTGGCTCACATCTGACATTGGAGCGACCATGCTAAGTTTCCCCCATACTCTTTCAGAGTATGCAACACCGTTCACAGAAGCAGACGTCTTTGATCCTGCGTGCTTGCCGCGGATCAACAGGTTATAAGCATGCCCACTTCCGAAAAAAAAAAGCGACATGGTGTCTTGAGCTCAGGTTCCGGCCGTGATGTCCACTCCGCGTCGAATCGATTGAGGAGTATACATAGAACGAAGGGACAAAGGAGGCGTGCCGGGGGGCGTGAGAGAGCCACGCCCGAGCTCTGTCGGAGTTCGAGGAACAAACGGCGATGCCTGGAAAGACGACGATGCTTCTGGACCGGTTTCTGACTTGATAAAAAAAAGGTGCCTCTGAAGCAGCAGAACTCTCCACTGCCTGTATGCAAGAAGTAGCCCTGAGATGCACAAGAATACAGCTTATCAGTTCTGCAGAGCCTCCGTTGTCGGGGTCCAGCTACGCGAGCCGCAGTTTGCGTATGCGTAGCAAGCCTGTTTATGGTCACCCACGGTTTAGGGTTTAAGGTTTCGGGGCAGTTCGCAAGAACAATGCGTGGACAGTGCGCCTCATCGTTCGAGCCGGGAGGAGAAGGCAAAGCTATCCGATCCTAGAAGGGTTGCAGGCAAGGCATGACGCAGACCTACTGGACTGACTGGTTGCTGCCATTTGCCGCCTAGCCTCTAGGACAGACACGGCCCACAGCCGCGCACGACGAACCACAGACAACATGGCGAGGGGGCTACTCCTACACCGAAAGACCTCGAGCATCCTCCGTGCCGCGAGAAGGTAGCATCCAACACACGACAACCGCAACCCCTCCTCATACAAATGGCCTTGACCGCCACTGGCTTCTCACGAAAGGTTTTGCCTGATTCACAAGCTGAGTCGGCTGATGTCGGCTACGTGCTGCTTGCCGTCTCCTCAATGCTGCAAGGAACACGAATCACGGAGCTCTTGACGAGTGAGATTCGGATGAAGGCGGCATACTCCCAGCCTCAGAACCGCAGTGCGCAGAGATATTGTTAGCACCACCAAGCATCACAGCCCAATCTGCAGTCGTGGCACAGCTCCTCAGCGAGATCATATCGGTCGGGAGGCGTGAATGCCACATAGCTAGAGGTGACCGAGTAAGGATAGCACACCTCACAAACGCCATTCGATTCTGTACGGCGCCCTCTGACTGAAAATTTTGCTGTATTGATGCTTCAGCAAAAAAAATTACACCTGATTCGGCAGGGTGGCGACCCACTGCGACATCTCCCCGTGTCGCATCACAGGTCTCACCGCCCCAAGTGGCTGTTGCTCGCCAGAGGTTTTGGACTTCGTCTGCTTGGGAGGCCTCACTCAAATTTACTCAAACGGAGAGAGACACGAGCGGATGACTGCACCAAAACAAACTAAGACAGAAACGAAAATTTACATCTTCGGTGCCAGGACACATGATCAGGCGATCACGAATGTCTCTGAAATCCAGTCGCGAATTCCGGACGATTGCAAACGAGGGAGCAAACTAAAAAGGAATGACGGTCGAGGGATGTGAGATGTCTGCAACCGTCTGCTGCTATCTATTGCTGCTCTGCTTCCACTGTCCATGTGTGCAGTCGAGAGTTTGTACATGGTCCGCAACAGTCTGCTGC